GACGATGACGATGCTGATGATGATGATGACGAAGATGACGATGACTATGTCGATGACGATGACGATGATCACGACCGTGATGATGATGACGATGATGATGGATGATGATGGTGTCGACGACGTCGACGACGACGTGGGTGATGATGATGACGTTGACGATGTTGAAAATGAAAAGAGCATGACGATTCTGATGATGATGATGACGATGACGATGACGATCAGATCACGATTACGACGACGATGGTGATGACGATGATGACGATGACGACGACGATGAGGATCAGGATTGCCATTATGACGTGGATGCCGATGATGACGACGATGATGACAACGATGATGATGAAGATGGTGACGACGACGATGACGATCATGACGATGACGATGCTGATGATGATGATAACGAAGATGACGATGACTATGTCGATGACGATGACGATGATCACGACCGTGATGATGATGACGATGATGATGGATGATGATGGTGTCGGCGACGTCGACGACGACGAAGACGGTGATGATGATGACGATGACGATGTTGAAAATGAAAAGAGCATGACGATTTTGATGATGATGACGATGACGATGACGATGACGATCACGATGACTATGGTGATGACGATGATGACGATGACGACGACGATGAGGATCAGGATTGCCATGATGACGTGGATGCCGATGATGACGATGATGATGCCGACGATGATGATGGCAATGCCGATGGCGATGACGATGACAATGACGACGATGATGATGCTTATGCTGCTGCTGATGATGATGTTGATGACGATGATGATGACGATTGTGGTGACGATGATGACGATGATGACGGCGATGATGATGATGACGATAATGACGATGATGCCGATTGTGATGATGTTGAGGATGATGTTGATGACAACGTTCATTATGAGGATGATGACGATGATGATGATGCTGATGATGACGATGACGATGACGACGACGATTATGATGATGATGCCGATGACGACGATTATCAGGGTTACGAGGATAACGATGATGATGGTGATGGTGATGATGGCGATGATGATGCTGATGATGGTGATACGGATGATGATGACGATGATGATGATGATGGTGATGATGATGATGAGGAAGATCATCACGACGACCATGATGACGATGATGATGATTGTGATGGTGATGACGACGATGATAATGATGATGATTGTGATGATGAGGATGATGATGATGATGATGATGATGATGATGATGATGATGATAGTGATGATGACGAGAATGACGATTACGATGATCAGAATGATGATGATGCTACTGCTAATGACGATGATGATGACGATGAGGATGATGCTGATGATGATAATGATGATGATGATGACGCTGACGCTGACGACGATGTTGATGATGATTCTGATGGTGAATCTGATGCTGATGGCGACGATCTCGATGCTGACGATGATGCCGAAGATGCTGACGATGGCGATGATGACGATGATGATGAGTTTTATGACGACGATGCTGATATCGATGATGGCGATGATGATGACGATGCTGAAGACGATGATGATGATGATGATGATGATGATGATGATGATGATGATGACGGTGATGACGATGACGACGGTGGTGATGACGATGACCATGGCGATGCGACGATTATGATGATGATGCTGATGATAATGATGACGATGATGATGATGATGATGATGATGATGATGATGACGATGCCGATGATGACGTTGATGGCAATAATGATTTTGATTATGATGTTGATGGCGACGCTGGTGATGATCATTATGACGACGGTGACGGTGTTCACGATGATGATGAGGACGACGAGGTTGACGATGACGATGCTGACGATGATGAAGTTGATGATGATGATGATGATGATGATGATCATGACGATGACGACGATGATGATGATGAGGATGACGATGATGTCGATGATCAGGGTGAGGATGATGATGCTGATGATGATGACGATGATGACGATGATGATGATACCGATGACGACGATGATGATGACGACGATGATGATGATGCTGACAACGACGAGGATGATGATGCCGATGATGATGATGATGATGATGATGATGATGATGAGGATGGCGATACTGATGACGATTATGTCGATTTTGACGGTGCCCAGGACGATGCTAATGACGATGATGATGAAAGATAACGGCGATGATGATGATACCGATGATCACGATGATGATGATGACGATGCTGGTGATGATGACGATGATGTCGATGATGGCGATGATGATGAGGATCGTGATGATGATGATCCCTATCTCGATTATCATGAAGACGCGAAAGGGATTATGACGATGTTCACAATGCTGGCGATGAAGAGGATGATGCTGCTTATGATGATGATGATGATGATGATGATGATGATGATGATGATGATTTTGATAATGACGATCGCGCTGATGATGTTAATCATGATGAGGCTGATGTGTGTGATGCTGATGATGACGATGCTGATGATGATGATGACGATTATGACGATGATGACGATGACGTGATGATGATGCTGATACCTGATGATGATGCTGCTCATGATGATGATCACGATGATGACGATGATAATGATGACGATGATGATGCTGATGATGATGATGCTGATGCCGACGATGAGGATGATGATGATGATGATGACGCTGACGCTGACGACGATGTTGATGATGATGGTGAAGAAGAAGTGATGCTGCTGATGATGATGACGACGATGATGATGCGCATGATGACGATGATGTTGACGATGATGATGGTGATGATGATGATGATCGTGATGATGGTGACGGTGACGGTGATGATGATGACGACGATCACGCTGACAATGACGCTGATGATGATGATGATGATGACGGCGAGGATGAGGATGATGATGCGGATGGGGATGAGGATGAGTATGAGGATGACCGTGATGATGCTGATGATGGTGGTGGCGGTGGTGGTGATTTTGCTGTTGATGATGATGATGATGATGATGATGGTGGTGATGGTGGTGGTGATGATGATGATGATATGAAGATGATGATGCTGCTGATGCTGTTTCTGCTGATGATGCTAATGATGATGGCGATGATGAGGATGATGATGAGGATTATGAGGATAATGACGAGCAGGAGGAGCAGATTCCCTCTCCCCCTCTCCCTCATTCTTTTCGCCCTCGCCTCCCCCTGTCGATGATCCTCGGGACGTATGTTAGCCCAAACGAGTGTTGCCCGTTTGGTTGCGCCGATAGCGCGCAGCCTGTGTCGGCACTCGTTGCGCCGCCAAGGGCGTACCGGAGGGCCTTGGTGGACAAGGGTACGGTGGCGCTAACACACGTTTTAAGGATCATCGAAACACGATTGCGAGTTGGAGCCGGCTGGGCGTCTGAGGTGGCCCAGCATTGGTTCCAGCCAGCAGGAAGGGGGGGCGAGGTTCGAGGTTCTGGGTTCGAGACAGTTTTTTGCAGTTTTGTCTCTTCGGCCTCCGGGTGGGGGGCCAGTTTTCGGGTCCTGGGACGTTCAAACACGGATCCAGGGTGAAAGGCTGCACCAGGTGGACGGCGGGAAAGGTCCAGGGATTGATTTTGGGCTTGGCCTTTTGCCCGAGCGCCATGCTAAGGGCTGGCGCATGGCTTCTGCACTGTACTTGAACTTGCCCTCGTCCCCCTTCGTGACTGATTTTCTAGAGCTCCATGCAATTCAGACCCCCCAGCCGCCTCCAAGTTGCGACTGCGACGGGCAGCGCACAATCGAATGGTCAGCCTCATTCCACGGCCAGGCCGAGTCGGCAGCAGCGAAAGCTCTTGCTCAGCCCCGAGCCTGGTCTTGCCCTGCCCCGCCTCGCGGAGGTTGGCGGCCCCACGGAGACGGAGGTGAACGACAAGAAGTTGCGCTACAATGACGCCATGTCCGCGGTGCGCAGCGCGCAGGAGATGGGCATCGTGCCAGGTGATGGCTGGCCCGGGGCGGGGGGCCCAGGAGGATGAGGATGTTGAGGGGGAGGAGGAGGTGGAGGAGGAGGAGGAGGAAGAGGAGGATGAGGATGAGGAAGAGGAGCATGGGAAACCCAAGAGTCATCAACGATGTTGGAAGTAACCCTCCCTCCAAGCTCCCTTTTCAGAGGCCCCTACAGCGGTTCATTTCCATTGAGGGAACTGCCTCGTTGGAAGGCAACAGTTTGAAGATCCTGAAGTGTGCCGAAACATTGTTCTCGGGATTTCAACGTCACAACGTATCAACCTGACTGATGCGTCTTGACGATCCAGAATCGTGCCAGAGCGCCATTTTTGGGACGTCAACACAGCGAATCAACAGAACTGTTGCGCCCGCATAATCCTGAATCCCTCCGAAACACCATTTCTGGTATGTTGATCACGGGAATCCGTGAAACTCTTGCAAATGCTTACAACGAGTGTGCGCGGCGCTAAGGCGAGAGCCACATTTTGAAAAGGAACCGCCCACATTATGTTAAGCTCTTGCATTTTTTTTACAACGAATGTGCGCGGCGCTAAGGCCAGAGCCACATGTTGAAAACCACCCGCCCTCAATCCGTGAAAGTCTGGCAATTTTTAAAAACGAATATGCGCGGCGCTAGGGCCAGAGTCGCATTTTGAAAACGACCCGCCCTCAACCCGTGAAGCTCTTGTGGATTTTTAAAACGAATGTGCGCGGCGCTACGGCGAGAACCACATTTTGAACATGATCCGCCCTCAATTCGTTAAGCTCTTGCAGTTCCCCAAGCAGAGCTTGCCTCTGTAGGGGTCCTAGCGGATTCATGTGGTTAGGTTAGGTTTGCCGCCGATTTTCGCCGCACGCCCGGGTGCCCGGGTGCCCGGGGGTGCCCGGAGGTGCCCAGGGGTGCCTGGGTGCTCGGGTGCCCGGGTGCTCTATCGCCCTCTAGCACTACAGCCTTGCCCTATAGCTCTATAGCCCTATATCCCAATAGCCCTGTAGCCCTACAGCCTTACAGCCCTATAGCCCTATAGCCCTATAGCCCTATAGCCCTATAGCTCTATAGCCCTATAACCCAATAGCCCACTGGCTCAATAGCCCATATAGCCCATACAGCCCTGTAGCCTGTAGCCCTATATCCCCATAGCCCAATAGCCCTATAGCCCTACAGCCCTATAGCCCTACAGCCCTAAACAGATTATGATTGAGTTTTTCTCGGGTATCATTGTTTACAGCGAATGTGCGCAGCGCTAAGGCGAGAGCCACATTTTGAAAAGGATGCTCTCAATCCGTGAAGCACTCGCACATTTTAACAACGAATGTGCGGGGGGCTAAGGCGAGAGCCACATTTTGAAGACCACCCGCCTTCAATCCGTGAAACTCTGGCAAATGTTCAAAACGAACGTGTGCGGCGCTACGGCGAGAACCACATTTTGAAAACCACCCGCCCTCCATCTTTGAAACTGGTGTTACTTTTTTACGCTTCAGAGTCATTAGTGGTGAGGAAGTCTCAGGCGAAACGCCTGGCCCGCCTTAAAAACTGGCCTTGGGGTGCGACAGGGAGGAGTTATCCATAAGGAGAAGGAATGAATGAGGAGGAGGAGGAGGAGGAGGAGGGGAGGAGGAGGAGGAGGAGGAGGAGGAGGAGGAGGAGGAGGAGGAGGAGGAGGCGGTAGAGGAGGCCTCCAGGAGGAGGATGAGGATGAGGATGAGGAGGAGGAGGAGGGAGAGGAGGAGGAGGAGGAGGGTAGAGGAGGCCTCCAGGAGGAGGAGGAGGAGGAGGAGAGGAGGAGGAGGAGGAGGAGGAGGAGGAGGAGGAGGAGGTAGAGGAGGCCTCCAGGAGGAGGAGGAGGAGGAGGAGGAGGAGGCCTGGGGGTGCCCCCGTCGGGGGCGGCCCCAAGGGTGGTGAGGATCAGGACGGGGTACACATCGCGGCCAGGGCCAACGGTACCTCCCCAGATGTCATGGCCCCTTCTAATTTTAAGTCGGGGCTGTCACACTACAGGAGGAACACCCCACTATATAACCAAAACTAAGCAGGGCTTGTTGTCGTTTTCGTTTTTTTTGTTTTTGTTTTTTGTTTTTTTTTCCCCTGTTTATTTTTGAGTATTTGTAATGTTTGTATCTCTCGTCCGAAATCCGCCTGTAGGGGGACACGCCCGATCCAATTCTCATTGCACCAGAACGTCCCTTGGCTCCCCCACTGGGCCGCGCACGTGCCCCGGGCCCTGATCTGCGAGCCGCGCTCTCGGCCGCTCGCTCCCGAGGAGGGGGAGGACAAGGAGGAGGACAAGGAGGAGTAGGAGGAGGAGGACGGAGAGGAGGAGGAGGAGGACAAGGAGGAGGAGGAGGAGGAGGAGGAGGAGGGGAGGAGGAGGAGGAGGAGGAGGAGGAGGGAGTAGGAGTAGGAAGGGTTGATGGGAGGGAGGAGGAGGAGGACAAGGAGGTGTAGGAGGAGGAGGAGGAAGGAGAGGAGGAGGAGGAGGAGGAGGACAAGGAGGAGGAGAAGGAGGAGGAGGAGGAGGAGGAGGAAGGGTTGATGGGAGGGAGGAGGAGGAGGACAAGGAGGAGTAGGAGGACGAGGAGGAGGAGGAGGAGGAGGAAAAGGAGGAGGAAGAGGAGGAGGAGGAGGAGGAGGAGGACCAGTGGAAACCCAAGACGCATCAACGATGTTGCGATAAACCCTTTTCCAATTTCCCTCTCCTCAGTGCCCTACAGGAAATCATTCTCATTGCGAGAAGGGCCTCGTTGGAAGACAACCGTCTGTGACTCCTAAATCGTGTTCAAACAGTCCTGGGCATTCAGCGTCGCAAATCAGCGTGACGGTTTCGTCTTGACAATCCTCAATTGCGCCAGAACATCATTTCTGGGACTTCAACACCGCGAATCAACGTGACTGTTGCATCCCGACAGTGCGAAATCTTGCCAGAACGCTATTCCTGGGGATTCGACTTTGCGAATCTTCAGATTTTCAGAACGAAGGTGCGCGGCGCTAAGGCGATTGCTTCACATAATAACAAGCGCCCTTACTGCTTGAAACTGCTGCGAACTCTTAAGGCGAAGGTGCGCGGCGCTGCGGCGCAAATAACATTTCGAGAACCGCCTGCCCTCCATCCGTTAAACGGGTGCGAACTGTTACGAGGAATGGGGGCGGCGCTGTGGCTATAGCCTCATTATGAAAACGACCCGCCCATCATCTTTTAAGCGGATGCCACACACATGCGAATGTGCGCGGCGCTCAGACACGGGTCACATTTGGAAAACGGCCTGCCTGACAGCCGTGGAGCTGCTGCAGACTTCAAGCTTCAGGATCATACGTGGGGGGGGGAAGTCTCAGGCGACGCGCCCAGCCCGACCTGCCGACACGCCTGGGGGGGGTGCGACAGGGAGGAGTTCTTCGTAAGGAAGATGGGTGGAGGAGGAGGAGGACCACTGTAAACCCCAGGGTCATCAACGAGACTGGAATAATCCCTCCTTCCACGCTCCTTCTTCATAGGCCTTCGAAGGGTTTATTTCTGCTGAGGGAAGTGACCCGTTGGGAGACAATCGTTTCGTAAACCCTTGAGCGCGCTAAAACACCATTTCTTGGAATTCAAAGCAGTGAATCAACTTTTTGCGTCCTGACGATCCTGAATCGTGCCAGAACGCCGTTTCTGGGACTTCACCACCGCGAATCAGCATGATTGTTACGTCCTGATAATCATAGATGTTTCCCAAATATTGTTTCTGGTACGTTAACATGAGAATCCGTGAAACTCTTGCAGTTGTTACGAATGTGCGCGGTGCTAAGGCCAGAGCCACATTTTGAAAAGGAGCCGCCCTCCACCAGAGAAACAGTTGCAAATTTGGAGCGCGAATGTGCGCGGCGCCAAGGCGAGAGCCATATTTTGAAAAAGAGCTGCCCTCATTCCCGGAAGCTTTTTGATATTTTCGCAACGAATGCGCGCGGCGCTAAGGTGAGAGCCACATTTTGAAAAGGAACCGCCCTCACTCCTGGAATCTCTTGCATGTTCTTGAGACGCGTGTGCGCGCCGCTTAGGCGAGAGCAATATTTTGCAAACGACCCGCCCTCAATCCTTGCATCTCCTTTCAAACTTTGAAGACGAATGTGCGCGTCTCCAAGGCGAGAGCCACATTTTGGAAACCACCCGCCCTCGATCCGTGAAACTGTTGCCAATTTTTACAGCTTCAGGATCTTGAATGGTGAGGAAGTCTCAGGCGAAACGTCCGGCCCGCCCTTCCGACGGCCTCGGGGTGCGACAGGTAGGAGTTGTTTATAAGGAGTCGGAATGGAGCAGTGGGAGGAGGAGGAGGAGGCGGAGGAGGAGGAGGAGGAGAAGGAGGAGGAGAAGCAGTGGGGGAAGGACAGAGGAGGAGGGGCATTGGGTGTCCTCGCGAAGCAGGCTCCTTGATGACATTGGTGTGCCGCGGCGACTCTGCGCAGAAGAGATAATCTAGAGGATGATGGTGACGATGATGAGGATGGTGGCGGTGGTTGTGATGGTGATGGTGATGATGATAGCATGATGGCGTGGATGAGGCCCTTATGATGATGATGACGACAACGACGATGACAATAATGATGATGATAATGATAATCATGAGGATGATGAGGACGAGGATGAGGATGATGATAAAGATTTCGATGACGATGACGATGACGATGACGATGATGATGATGATGATGATGATCCTGTGGAGATGATAATGATGATGATGCTGATGATGCTGATGATGATGATGTCGATGGCGATGTTGATGATGATTCTGACGATGATGATGATGATGATGATGATGTTGAAGATGATGATGATGATGATGATGATGATGATCATGATGACGACGATGACGATGATGATGATGATGATGATGATGATGATGATGATGATGATGGTGCTGGTGATGACGATGCTGATGATGATGCTGTTGCTGCTGTTGCTGCTGCTGATGAGGAGGATAATGAAGCTGACGACGATGATAATGATGATGAACATGAAGATGCTGCTGCTGCTGCTGATGATGATGATGATGATGATGATGATGATGGTGGTGGTGGTGATGATGTTGATGCTGCCGGCGATGATAGTAATGCTCATACTGACGATGATGACCATGCTATCAATATATATGTTGATGATGATGATGATGATGATAATGCTGATAATGATGATATTGACGATGATGCTGATGACGATGATGATGGTGATGGTGATGGTGATGATTGTGATGAGGATGGGCTTGACAATATTGAATGAGTTCTGATGCTGATGATGATGCTAGAGATGGTGACGCTATGTAAAAGATGATGATGATAAGTATGAGTATGATGATGATGATGATGATGATGATGATGTGGATGATGATGGTGATGATGGTGATGATGATGATGATGATGATGATGATGATGATCATGATGATGATGCTGCTGCTGATGATGATGATGATGATGATGTGATGGTGATGATGATGATACTGATGCTGATGCTGATGCTGATGCTGATGCTGAGGCTGCTGTTTCTGATGATGATGATGCAGCTGATGATTATGATGATATGATGATGATGATGCTGCTGATGATGGTGACGATGATCGTACTTTGGTGGTGATGATGTTGATGATATTGCTGCTGCTGATGATGATGCTAAGAAGGAGGAGGAGGAGGAGGAGGAGGAGGAGGAAGAGGAGGAGGAGGAGGAGGAGGAGGAGGAGGAGGAGGAGGAGGAGGTGAAAAAAGGGTAGGATCAGGAGGTGGGCGGACAGGGGATGACGGGGAGGGGCGAACAGAGGAACATATTCTTCTCCCCCTCCCTCCTCATCCTCGTCCTCGTCCTCGCCCTCGCCTCCCGCTTCTCGAACACCCTCAGGACTCGTGTTAGCCCAGTGTTCATTCATTACCTCGCTCGTTCTGCTCCGCCGATAGCACGCAGGCTGTGTCGGACTTCACCTCACCGCGTGCATCTTCTTGAAGGGCGTCGGTGGACAAGAAGACGTTGGCGCCAATTCATTTTCCGAGGGTAACTGGTTTCCACTCTCCTCTCCATCCTGCGAGCAGCAAGGCGTCCCAGGGCAGGAGCCTCAGCAAGGGCGCTGCAGTGCAAACGACGCAGCCACCACAGGTGGAGGCAGCGTCCTCGTGCACCTCAGCAAGGCCGAGTTCGCAGATGCGGTGAAGTCGAAACTGGTCACGGACGATGAGAAGGCCGCTTGGGCCGCGGAGGGCGGGGAGCATGCGGCTCGAGGATGGAGGTTCGGTGCTCGAGGTGCTCCAGCGCGCCTCTGCGTCCCCGGGGCGCCCCCGTGGCCATGGCTGGATTCGCGTCGGGACTCTGGCCAGGTGCGCCTTCCCGCAGCAGTCCCCCAGGGAGCCGAGTGCAGGCACGCGCCGCGGTCTTTGGCGGCCGAGCTCTCCCGTGCTGCACCGGCGGAGCTCGCCTGTGGTACGCGGAGCCCGCCGCGCCCTGTTGTCCGAAGGCGGAGTGCGGGTGTTGGAGACTTCGGCCCCCGCGCGGGGCCAGCGAGAGAGAGAGAGAGAGGAGCGTGTGCACGTCAGGGGTTCGTCGGCACGGGTGAGGCGGCTTCCGCTGAGCGAGGCGAAGGGAGGAGGGTCCACGGGTGCGAGGAGGAGGATCAGGATGCCGCTGATGATGATGCTGATGATGTCGATGATGATGATTATGATGATGATGATGATGACGATGATGATGATGATGATGAACCTAATGAAGATGATGATGGTGATGGTGATGGTGATGACGATGACGATGACGATACTGATGATGATGATGCTGATGCTGATTCTGATGCTGCTGATGCTGATGATGCTGATGCTGATGCTGATGATGCTGATGATGATGCTGATTATGATGGTGCTGTTGATGATACTGTTGATGATTCCGCTTGTTATGCTGGTTTCGATGAGGATGATGACGATGATGATGATGCTGATCATGATGACGATGATGGTGATGACGATGATGATGATGATGATGATGATGATGATGATGATGATGATGATGCTGATGCTCATGCTCATGATGATGCTGGTGCTCCCGATGATGATGCTATGTTAATGGTGATGATGTTGTTGTTGATGATGATGTTGTTGATGATGCTCATGATGATGCCGACGATGATGATGATGATGATGATGATGATGATGATGATGATGATGATGATGATGATGATGATGATGATGATTCTGATGATGATGATGCTGATGATGAAGATGACGACGACGAAGATGCTGATACTGCTGATGGTGATACTACTACTTCTGCTGATGATGATAATGATGCTGATGATGATGATGATGATGATGATGATGATGACGATGCTGCTGCAGCTGCTGCTGCTGCTGATGATGATGCTGCTGCTGCTGCTGCTGCTGCTGCTGATGATGATGATGATGATGATGATGATGATGATGATGATGATGAACTTCGTTTTGGCCATCTTGTGTCTGTTTCGGCCTCCTGTGGTCCAGTCTTGGGGGTCCCTTGGGGCCCTCTCGGGTGGTCTTGGGGCCCCCGCTCGCCGGCTTTCAACCCTCTTGGGCTGTCTTTGGGGCCCTCTTGGCTGTAGGGCGGGCTTCTGGCGGCCGTTGTGGGGCCGTCTTGGGCCGTCGAAGGGCCTTCTAAGGCCGTCTTGGGCTCAATGGGAGGCCCTCTTGGGGCGTCTTGGGGCCGTCCTGGATGCCTCCTGTGCCGTCGTGCAGTCCTCTTGGGCCGTCGTGAGCTGACGGCAGCCCGGAAAGGCGAGAGTGCCAACGTCGTTCAAACACCCGCGGGAAATTCGGTATTTTGGTTTCTTCGGACCTTGTTGGATGTCCTCTTGTGGCACTTTTGGGCCCTCTTGGAGGCATCTTGGGCCGTCTTGAGCCCATCTTCGCCCGCCTTGCGGCCATCTTCCGCCGTCTTCGAGGCATCTTCGGCCATCTTGGCGTCTATGGTTGCCTGCACGGCTCGTCGTGGAAGCTCGGGACGCATATCCGTTGTTCTAAATTAGGGGTCGTGGCTTGGGAGGCGAGCGCTTGGGAGCAGCGCCTTGGAATGCGGGATGTGCATGATTCTCCAGCGGAGGTGCGTGGGATGAGGGGTCTACGAGTTAGCAGCCATGCGGGAAGAGCACAATTCTCGAGCGGGCGCGCATTGAATAAGGGTTCAGGCATTAGCTGCCATTCGGGAAGTGAACCATCCTCGAGCGGACGCGCACGGAATGGGGGTTCAGGCATTAACTGCTGTGCGGGAAGTGCACCATCCTCGAGCGGACAAGCGTTGAATGGGGTTCAGGCAGCAGCTGCCATGCTGGAACTGCACCATCCTCGAGCGGGCACGCGGGAAGTGGCCTCGGACATGAGGGGTGGTGCACGCAGGAATCTGCTGTTAGGGGGGGGCGGTCCCTTATTGGAGCTCCAAGAACCCTACCAGGCAGACCTTGGTATTCTTCCACGCCTCAACATGCCAGGGGGGTCGGCGGAAGGGCGGCGGAAGCCGGTGGCCGCTCAGCAAAGAGATGGCAACATTTTTGGGTTCAGAGTTTCTGGACCCCCCCAATCACGACGGGAGGTTTTTTGGCAGTTTTCGGCTTCTGGGGGCCCTCACCAGGCCCTGGGACCGTCAACAAAAACGACTCGCGGTGAAAAGCGGGCCCCTGGGAGAGGGTCGGGACTTCCAGGGACGCCGCGTTGGAAGAAAGGACATCGCATGCATGTCTGGGTTGGTGGGGGGGGTGAGTGAGCTCAGGGGCTTAGGGGCTCGAAGGTCGAGGTCTTCGGACGCTCTCGTCGGCTCTCGGCGGTTTTCCAGCCTCGAGGTGGTGCTCTTCAGCGGCTGCGCCTCGCCTGGAGCCTGCTGGGGGGTGCCCGGGTCGTCCCGAGGCGGCCGCCGGAGGGCCGAGCTGATGCCCGCAGGCCAGAGGCGACGGGAGGGGAGGACAGGCTCTGGTCGCAGGCCTCGAGGTTGGCACCAACACCAAGATCGGCGGTGTGCCTCCGCCGAGGCAAGTCGATCCCGACCTCGGCGATGGTGGTGATATTCTGGCTTCCAAGGTGGCCGAAGTATCACCACCACCACCGAGACCTGGGATCATCTCCCCCCTGTGGAGGCAGCCCCCTGTCTTGGTGTTGGTGCCCATGTCCAGGCCTCCAATCTGGGGTGGGTGCATCGACCCCCCAATCGCCCATTCATCGCCGATGGCCCGCCCCCGCACAGGAGCGTGCGGAGTCGCTGCCGGGGGCCCATCGCCGATCCATCGGCGAAAGTACAGCCAGGTCCGGCCCGATGTCTCCTCCCCGGAGCTGGTCTCCCCCTGAGCGTTAGCCCCTCGGCACCCGCCTGGTGCCACAGGTGGGCACCCAGCCTGTTTCCGCCTGCCTTTCTGCCTCATTGCTGTTTTTGGTTCCCCTCGCTGGCGCGGGGACTCTGTGGCTGCCCGTCCACCGCCTGGCGTTTGCTGCGCTGCTCGGGTCCCACTGGCCGCCTTTTTGCACGAGGCTCGGTAGTGGCATGGGTCGAGGCGTCCCAGATGGGGTCAGAGTGGAGGGGGTCGGAGGATCGCGCCGCATCGTCGATGCATCACCGATGCATCGGCGTCGTCGGCTTGGAGAAAACGGGGCTCCACGTCGAGCCACATCGTCGATGCAACGGCGATGCGGCGCGATCCTCCGACCCCATCTATTCGGACCCCATCTGAGAGGCCTAGGGTTGGCAAAGAACTCAGAACAGGTGGGCGCCCAGCTGGTCTTCAGCTCCCTGTCGGCCCCCATGCGACAGATCGCCAAGAACGCGGGGGAGGACCCCAGCGAGGCGCGCGGAGCGGGAGTTATCGTGCACACGTCTCGGTGAGCGTATGCGCATGCACGCGCGTGTGTGTGTGTGTGTGTGTGTGTGTGTGTGTGTAACGCAGTTCGTGCCCTTACATCAGCAAGGAAGGATGCAACTGATATGCTCGCTTCCGTGCACACTCTGCCGCGGCTGTGGTGCCTCATCGCTGGTGGAGGAAGATGTGTGTGTGTGTGTTTATGGCTTAGGTGCCTCGAGCAGCCACCGCAATTTTTCTGCGCGCGACTTGCCCTGCGGTGTCCACCCATCTGCCATGCCATGTGGAGGTGACGCCAAGCGTGCCCCGTCGTGGCCCTTCGCTGCAGTGACGCCACTCGGTTCCTGGATTAAGGATGTGCTGCTTGCCGGCAGGACACTCGTCTGGCTGTAGCGGTTGTCGCAGCCCGTCGCCTGTTGTCGCTCCCGCTTTGGCCGCGCCCCCACGGCTTCGGTGGGACCCGCCTGGCCCTTGCCAGGCTGTCGCCCCTCGTCTTGCCGGCTCGTGCGGCCGCCTCGGGACCCGCCCGGATTTGGAGCTCCGCGCGGATTCCGCCCGGAGCTCCAAATCCGCGCGGATTTCTTGGAGCTCCGCGCGGATTTCTTTTGGAGCTCCGCGCGGATTTCTTGGATCGGCGCCGTTCCTCCCCTGGCGGCGCTTCCGGCGCCGCCCCGAGCTCCACAAGGTCATGATTGTGCCGTTTTCAGAGAAGTCGGCTCGCGATGACGAACCGACCCTGGGGGGAAGGGTCGGGACCTCCCGGGACCCCGTGTGGGAAAAGTCAGGACATCGCCTGCCTGGAGTCCGGGACCGTGTCGGGGGCGGCAGAGAGGGGGGTGATGGCTATGTAGGGGGGGGTGGATCTCATGGCGGGGGCCATGATATCTCCCTAGATTTGATGGCCCCTCTTCTGATTTCGATACGTCCCCTGGCCCCCTCTGGTCTGCGCACATGCCTCGGGCCATGATTTGCGCGCCCCTCCTTCGAAGAAGAACGAAACGCCATGAACCCTAACTTCTGGCGCTCCGCGCGGAGTTCCTGGGCCCCTGGGAGAGGGTCGGGACGTCCAGGGACGCCGCGTTGGAAGAAAGGACATCGCGTGTCTGGGTCGGGGGGGTGAGCTCAGGGGGTTAGAGGCTCGAAGGTCGAGGTCCTCGGACGCTCTCGTCGCCTCGGGCGGCCGCCGGAGAGCCGAGCGATTGCCCGAAAGCCAGAGGCGACGGGAGGGGAGGACAGGCTCAGGGGGGCGATGCATCGCCGATTCTGGGCCGACGTGCCCCCCCCCCCTCGCAGGCCTCGAGGTTGACACCAACACCAAGATCGGCGGTGTGCCTCCACCGAGGGAAGAAGATCCCGATCTCGGTGATGGTGGTAATATTCTGGCTTCCAAGTGGCCGAAATATTACCACCAACACCGAAATTTAGGATCATCTTCCCCCTGTGGAGGCAACCCCCTGTGTTGGTGTTGGTGCCCATTTCCAGGCCTCGAACCCCCCACGTGCCAGTCTACCCTCTTTGCCCCTCAGCTTCCTGCTCCTCGCCCTCTGCTGGCGTGTTCCCCTCTGCCGTGCCCGCGCGGCCGTCTGGTGTTTTTTTGTTGTGGTGCACCCTCGTCTGGCACGGCGGGCCGGTGTCGTGATGCCGCACTGCAGGTTCGGTCCGCGGCGGGTGTCGCCAGGCTGCCCAGCCACCACGCAATGACTGTGAGCATAGTTCGCCATCGCGATTGACTGCCGATTTCGCTTAGGAGGAAAGGCTGCTCACCGCCCACCCACCCCAACCCAACCCGAAGACCCCGATTTGCCTTCCATTTCTAATTTTTTTTTGGGGGGGTCGGGGAACATTGAAAAAGTACATATGAAGCCCGTACCTCGGGTCTTCGGGTTGCGTTGGGGTGGTCTGGTAGGTAGTCAGCTGCGTGTGCGATTGCACATTGGGTGCAATCAATACTGACACGAGGCCTGTTATTGTTCATCGCGACTGTGGTGTCGCAACGCCAGCGGAGGAATTTTTGCTTGCGTGACTAAACGCAGCTCAGCTACAGTCAACCCTGATAGCCAGGATGATCGACTTCCCAAGGGTACTCTTGCATCCTTGCCTCTTCGGTCATCTTGGGTCCATGCTGAACCGCTTTCGATGGCCAGCCCTGCTCGAAGAGCCTCGGCATGGGCGTCGAAGGCCTAAGTGGGTTGATTGTACCTCTTGCAGCACCTCCGCAGGCTTACCTCTCCGCCAGGCTCTAAGCAGCCCTCTCACGACTCTCACGCCGCCGGCGGCTCCCGCTTCCACCGGGTTCGAAGCAGTCTCGCCGTCCCCGCCGGCTCGACCTGCAACGCTTGGTGGTGATGAGCTATCATGATAGCGGCTGCCTCTGGGCATCACTCGCGACGGTGCCGTCATCTCGCCGGAGGAGGAACAGGGTGCTTTGTGTGTGTGTGTGAGTGTGTGTGTGTGTGTGAGTGTGAGTGTGTGTGTGTGTGTATCAGTACAGCGCGCGCAGCCGTGCTGTGCACACGGCAGCCACTAGGGCCGCCAGCCTGGGGACCTCCAGATTGGAGCCGTCTGGGGGTCTGAGGTGGCCCAGCACTGGTTCCGGCCAGTAGGAAGGGCGGGCAGGTGCGGGGTGCTGGGTTCGGGAGTTTTTTTTCCGCCTGTTTCGGCCTCCAGGGGTCGTTTTCGGACCCCAGGACGTCAAAAACGGATCCTGGGTGAAAATGCTCCAGATGGACCCCAGCAGGGGTCCGAGGACCGATTTTGAGCGGATTTGGCCGCATCCCCTTTCTGACCGATTTTCTGGGGTCCCAGCCATTTCAGACTCCCTGGCCGCCTCCAACTTGCGGGGCAGCAATCCTTCAGATCACCACAAGTCGGGATCATAAGCCCTTCTGGCCTACATATCCACGCGCAAGCGAGACATCTGGATAAAGAATCAGGATCTGCGAACCCCCATTCTGCCAGGCAGGGCCTGGGGGTGTGTCCCAGCAGGTGCTCAAATTCAGCCGAAGGTGTGTGGCCAAGTAGGTTGCGACACAAAAAATGGAAAGCTAGCCGTGCACGAACGAGTTGAGCAGGATGAGCCAACACGAGCTGCACCGCGTAGCTGTCCAGGAACGCAACTCCCCCATTTGGCCGCAGCAGGGCTTGAGGGGGCAGCCCAGTAGGTGCGCCAATTTTATTAAAGTGCAGGGCTTCGTTATGGCCCAGCAGGTGCACCAATTGTGCCGAAGCAGGGCCTGGGGGTGTAGTCCAGGAGGTGCACCAATTCTGCCAAAGCAGGGCCTAGGGGAGTGGCCCAATTGGCCATGCTCTTGCACGCCTGCACGAAAGGAGAAAGCAACATGCCAACGCAACTGCAAGCGAGGCAAACACATCCAACTCCTCATTCTGCCAGGGAGTGCTTGGTGTGTAGCCCATCAGGTGGCACACAAGCAGCGATATGTAAAGAAAAAGAACTGTGACAACTCAATTGCTGCGTGTCCCCCGTGCTGACGAGCTGCACTCCGTGCACGGACGAGTCCAGCAAGAGAACCCCAACGCGCACCTCGAGCAGCCACCAGCGTTAGCTCTCCGTGAGCGGGCGCCTGGTACTGGGGCCTCTCCCTTCAAGGACAAGATCCCGTCTCCAGCGCCTCATTCTGTCTCCTTCGTCGTCGTATGGGCTCCCCCTGGCATTCCTCAACCAACTCTCGGGCACATCCATCCTCGCCTCTCACGAACGTAGTGACCACACCTCTTGCAGACTCTGTAGCCGAAGGCGATCATCACATCGTGCCCGCGACTTGGCGCTGGCTCGGTGTGCCCCGATGCGCCTCCATCAGTGCTGGTACCCTTCCGCCGTTGGACTGACTCGCCGCTGCCGCTGCCGTGGCAGCATAAGGGCCGCAACACCAAGTCCTGCAACTGCTGCAGGTCGCTTGACTCCACTGGCGACAGGCCTCGGAACGAACGGCCTGTGGAACAGCTGCCTCTTGGACTCCTCTGTGTGCGCGCTCTCGCCGCATTGCGTACACCACCATCCGTCGGCATACACGTGGCAGTCATGCCCCGTGAGGCTGAGCAGCGCTTCGGGCGGGGTGACCACTCACGCCGACCCGAGCGGCAACCGCTGGCGCCACAGCACATGATGGATGATACCCAAACCAACGTGTCATCCACCATCAGCTGGGCCCGTCTAGCCCTGGCTCCGTCAGCGTCCTCAAAGGCATACGGCTTGGTGCACTTCTTGGTCCAATCGTCGGACTTCATGTTCCCACGGCACTTCATCTCGTACAGCGTCCTTCCTCTATGTCGCGGATTGTGGCGTGGACCTTGATTTTGACCACGTTGAGGCTATCATGCCCAAGTCCTCTGAAGTCATCAAGTGCATCCCACACCAATCTCCACAGACAACGCCACGTGTGGGTGGCCACACGTGTGAACTCCTGCCCCCACTTGGTGAGCCCGTCCACGACGTACGACGCATCAACCCTCAGTGTGATGGGGGCCAGGCTGTGGCGCAATCAGATGAGCACCGCCAGGAGCTCGGCCCCCCTCGATGGATTGGTGGATGGCAGCAGGCGTGCGTGCGTGCGTGCGTGCGTGCGTGCGTGCGTGCATGCGTGTGTGTGTGTGTGTGTGTGTGTGTGTTTGTGTGTGTGTGTGCTTGTATGTATGTATGTATGTATGTATGTATGTATGTTTGTACGCATGCATGCATGCATGCATGCATGCATGCATGTATAGTTGTATGCACACACACATATATATGTGCATGCATGTATGCATGTGTGTGCGTATGTATGTATGTATGTATGTATGTATGTATGTATGTATGTATGTATGTATGTATGTATGTATGTATGTATGTACGTACGTACGTACGTACGTACGTACGTACGTACGTACGCACGTATGTATGTATGTATGTATGCATGCATGTATGTATGTATGTATACATGCATGTATGTATGCATGTATGTATGTACATAAGTATGTATGTATGTATGTCTGTCTGTCTGTCTGTATGAACGTATGTATGTATGTATGCATGCATGCATGCATGCATGTATGTATGTATGTATGTATGCATGCATGCATGCATGCATGCATGTATGTATGTATGTATGTCTGTCGGTCTGTCTGTCTGTCTGTCTGTCTGTCTGTCTGTATGTATGTATGTATGTATGTATGTAGGTGTGTATACATATATATATATATATATATGTTCAGAGTGCTGGGATTGCAGTCTTTGGCAAGTGTGTATAGTTTTCTTCGCAGATTCCCTGCCTGGCAGGTTTCATTACTATCGTTGACGGTGACCCATCAGCGCGTCGGTGGAAACGCCCAGAATGTGTGCGCGTGTCATTTCGTTGCCAGCAAGACCCGTACCAATGCACCCAACGGTTGTTTCCACCACCCCGTCAAAAGAAAACGTGTTTGCGCGTGCACGTGACGTGCATTTGGGCTTACATGCGCTGACCAGCTGTGTCCGCCCCTCATCAGGGATTTCACGACGAGGATCGCTTCAGGGGTTCCTAAATGGGGACTTTGATCTACCAGGACGTTGGCGCGCCCGTGGGTCGAAGCATTCTCCTGTTTTCGTTCTCTCGAAGGTGGAGTTTTCGAAGTCCTGGTTAGCAATGTCCTGTTTTAGGGGGCCCTGGTCGCCGCTGTGAAGGAAGCTTCGCAGCTGAATCTTTTGCGGAAATGGGACCCCCGCCTGTGTATTGCACACGGATGCGGCACCGTGACGTCGGCACTTACGGGCTCGTCGACACACGCCTGCAAAAAAACGCGCGCGTACATGCGCTTTGACGTTGGCCTATCACGCATGCGCCTTTCGTACCGACCATGGTTTCGTACTGCATTTGTGCAGAGATCGGCTGCAACGTATTTGCGGAGACCTCACTCACATGTGTCAGGGGAACGGGCATGTGTGTTGATGGTTGTCATGGTGCGCAGTGCAGGTTGATCTGTGTCGTTACGTGTTTCCTCTCTGGTGCCCGCAGCATCACGACACATTCTTACATGGCATGAGAGAAAGTACATGTGCTTTGAGCCATGTCAGCGGGCCTGTGCACGAACACCTTCGCCAGATGTAGTCAAGTGGTGATATGTGCTCGGCAGTGGTATGTACTTGCGCTTTTCAGTCAAGTAGTTAAGTTCTAATTGCGTTCCTTGGTTCAACATCGTAGTTTGTTGGGAAGGCCTAGCGGCCGGTGCCGCCGACCCTGAAGGGGGACGGCGACGACGGCGGCGGCGGCAGCGGCGACGACGACGACGACAACGCTGACGCTCTGGAGCCTTTCTTGGGACTCTCTTGGGTGCCCCTTGGGCTCTGTCGGGGCTTGGGCTGGGGGCCGCGGCTGGGGCCAGGGCCAGGGCTGGGGCCGAGGCCGAGGCCGAGGCCGAGGCTGGGGCCACGGCAGGGGCTGGGGCGAGGGGCCCGGCCCGGGGGCCAGGGCCAGGACCGGGGCGCCAGGGCCGCGACCCGGGCGGCGGCCCCCTCAGGGCTGGGTCGTGTCTGGGTCTGGGGCCTGGGCCGGAGCGGGGGCCGGGGCGCGGGGGGAAAACGTATCCGGGTGGCGACCTTGCTTGGGACCCTCCCTGGACACCCCCAGGAACCCCCTGGGACCCCCCCAGGACCCCCCCCCCGGCGCGGGGAAGGGATCAAAGGGAAGGGGCTTCCCTTCGATTCCGCTCCGATGTTGTTCAATGTTGCTTTGGACGGCGCGTATGAGGAAGATGGCCCAGGCAAATGGAACAGAGGAGGACGGAGACGACGACTCCAACGGAAAAGCCCGACTCGAACGGAAAAGCCTTTCACACACGCCGACAGGGTCGTCGGTTTTGCTTTCTGTCGTGAAAATTTGCTGATGGCGCGAATGGTCAAACGCCTTTGCTGTAAGACCCTCTTGAACTTATGAAGAGAATTGGGCATTCGTACTTATGATAGGTACTTGTGCATATCGTGAAGAGCCGTGGGGCAGGATGTCGTTGTTTTGATGCTCAGTTTTCGCCGCAGCAGTAGAGAAGCTGCATTATCAGCCACTTGCGCATCCCGTTCAGCTGCTGTTGAGTTCCCACTTCCGAACACCAGACGTTACTGCTCCCCCTTCGATGCCCATCGGTCTGTCTCGATCGAGGTGCCCCTCGACGCTCGCACCTCAGATGTTGTCGAAGACGGCCTTAACGATCAAACTGTGTGGTGGGACCTGGTGCTGCAACATGTGCATCGTTTTTACAGTCTCGTCGCAACGACATGCATGTTTCGGCATAGCCGACCGCCCGAGTTCGGCTCTTGTCTTTGTGGTGTATTGTCGCTCTCAGCGTGCCAGTTACTTGTCCGACCCTGTCTCATTCACGCTCTGCGCGCACTTCTGCTCTTCCTTGCGCCGCAGCTGACCACAGGTGCTTCCCTTTGTCTTGGCGGCTCGCCCAGGGGGAAAGGCAGGGATGGCGGGTCTTCTCAGAAGGCTCAGAAGGCCTCCAGCCATTTTAGAAGCTTTCTTCTCTGAAGGCGCAGACGCTTTTTCAACGGTCAAGAGGGCTTCTGAGAAGCCCCGCTGCCCTCTGAGAAGGCCTGCCTCCTCTCACTTCCCCCTTGGGCGCGCCGCAGGCTGTTGCACAGCCGCGCGGATCTGGTTTGGCCGCTGCCTCTTGCTTCAGGTGTTGTACAAGGTGCGGGACAGAGAGTTCGGGTTCGGGTACAACGCCGCGACAGGGGAGTTTGAGGACCTGATGGCCGCTGGGGTTGTAGATCCTGCGAAGGCCGCGTGCCCCTGCTCTCGCGACTCTTCTCCGCCCCTGTGTTTTGGATGCCGCCCTCCGCGGACGCCCTTCTCTTCCCCTAGTCGCATTTGTGTGCCCTTACAGTGGAGGCCCATGCCAAGAAACACCCTGCTTGCCTCCAGGGTGCCCAGAGATGGAAAGCGTGACGTCCCCACACCGAAATTCAGGGGACGTCCTGGGGTCCCAGGGTTGGGTTTCTTGTGGAAGGTTTCTCGTGGTCGGACCTCCACTGTAGGGGCACTGACCGTAGAGAACCCCAGGGCACACGCCATCGGGCACAGGCCATCGGGGCACCATCATTGAGCACCGTGAACATGGCACCGACCAAAGGTCACCAGCACGAGGCAATGACCTCAGGGCGCAAACCACGGGGCCCCGACCATGGAGCCGACGCGCGCACGACCGCTCGCAACACATGGGGCACAAGACACAGGCGTCCACGGGGCATGGTCCTCGGGGCACCGAGCCAGATGACGCCAGACATCGGCGTCGTCCAGCCTGTCCCCACGGCCACTGGGCAGTTCCATCTCAGCCCCAGCAGCCCGCCCTCCTGGGTCGGGGGCAGGCCCCGCGAAGGCCGAAGGAGCAGGCGTACTGTCCCCACCCAGGTGGGGGGCCAGTCGGCCAGCCAGGCCAAGGCCACGCCAGCGGGTGTGGGGACCGGTTAAACGATGCCCACCGAGTGTGGCCCCTGGCGCGTTGACGACGAGGGATGAGGCTGCACGTTTTCAGCCACTGCGCGGGTCCCCCCGGACGGCCGCCGCTCCTTGCCAGCCCACGGGCCTCCCCGGTGTGCGCGCGCGCGCTCCTGGGCAGCCTGCCGCGACCAGCGGTTCGCTTTCGAGGCGCTCGCCCCGCAAGACGGGTGCGCGGCGCGCCGCGGTGTCTGCCTCGGAGGAGGCAGAGATACCAGATGTTGATGGGCTAGGCGATCATCCAGGCCTCCCCAGATGGGGCCCGAGCAGGTGGGCTCGGAGGATCGCGCCGCATCGCCGATGCATCGGCGATTCGGAGCTACGGGGCCGCACACGCGCAGGGCAAGAGGGGCGGTCCGGGGCAATGTTAGTGGGGGATCGGCCCAGGGCGGACATGTATGGACCCCCAGTGGTGCACGGATTGCCGATGAGGGCCCGCTAGCCCACCACGCCCGGGGACGCGCGGATTCACCATCGGGGGTCTATCGCTGGCCTCTTGGCGACGCATCGCCGCTTCCTGGTCGATGTTCCCACCCTCGGCCGGTCCCCTTGATGATGATGATGATGATGATGATGATGATGATGATGATGATGATGATGATGATGATGATGATGATGATGATGATGATGATGATGATGGATGAGGATGAGGATGAGGATGAGGATGAGGATGATGACGATGAGGATGAGGATGAGGATGAGACGATGATGACGATGATGATGACGATGATGATGATGAGGAGGAGGAGGAGGACGATGATGATGATGAGGAGGAGGAGGAGGAGGACGAGGACGAGGACGAGGACGAGGACGAGGACGAGGACGAAGACGAAGACGAAGACGAAGAAGAAGACGAAGAGGAATACGAAGAAGAAAAAGAGGAATAATAATAATAATAATAACAAGAGTAGGAATAATAAGAGGAATAATAATACTAATAAGAGGATGAGGGAGACAATTAATAATTATACGAATAATAAGAATTATACCTATCATAATCGTAGTAATAATGCGAGTAATCATAAGCACAATGTCAATATTACTACTACTACTACTAATAATAATAGTACTAATAATAATACTAATAATAATCAATAGTAATACAACTAATAAAAAAAAACAATGACATGGACAATCATAATAATAGTACGATTCAGAATAATAGTAATAATGCTAATCATAATATTTTTAGGACGGAGAGTAATCATAATAACATTAAAAGAAGGCGAACCTTATGAATAAGCGGAAGAAGAGACTAATACTACTGACATGAGTAATAATAATGCTAATAATACTAATTAGAGTACTACTAAGAAGAATAGTACTAATAAACTTAAGAATAATAAGAATAATAATATTAGTACTAAGAGTACGAATCATAGAATACTACAAAGAAGAATATAATAGCAATAATGCGAATGTAAATAATAATAATACTAATAGTTACAAGAAGAAGAAAAAAGAGGAGCAGGAGGAGGAGCAGGGGGAGGAGGAGGAGGAGCCTTACTCTGAGTTGTTCCATGAGCATCCCCCCCATGCCACTCCGCTCGGCGGCCCGTCCTGGCCTCCCCCCCACGCGCACCGAGCTCACCCCCGAGCGGGATGCAGCCCCCGCACGCCCCGCGACGGACAGCCAACTCGCACGCTCCCACGCGTAGGGGAACCAAACATGACATAAACATACAAAACTCGATTGCAGCCGCAGGACACGAACATAAAACCGATAAACCGATAACCCGATAAACCGATAAACTATTTCGGTTGATCGGTTTATCGGCAGATCGACCGATAAACCGATATGATTATATCGGTTTATCGGTCGATCTGCCGATAAACCGATCAACCACTAAACCGACTCATCGCATGCGTGCCCGAATCTCAGCACAGTTTATCAGTTTATCGGTTTATCAGTTTATCGGTTTATCGGTTTATCGGTTTATCAGTTTATCGGTTTATCCGAAATAGTTTATCGGTTTATCAGTTTATCGGTATATCGGATGTTTCGGTTTATCGGTTTATTGGTTGATCGGTTTATCGGCCCGGCGTTGTCGTGGTTGTCCAATGGGTAATCCTTCGAAATTCTCTCTCCTCTTCCTCCTAGTCCTCCCCTTCCTCTTCCTCCTAGTCCTCCTCCGCCTCCGCCTCCTCCTCCTCCTCCTCCTCCTCCTCTCTTCCTCCTCCCCCCTCCTCCGTTCCGATCCTCCCTCCCTCCCTCCCTCTCCTCCCTCTCCTCCCTCCCTCCCTCACTGGCCCCGACGCCCATGGTTCTCCTAGTCCTCCCTCCCCCTCTTCCTCCTAGTCTCCTCCGCCTCCCCTTCCTCTTCCTCCTAGTCCTCCTCCGCCTCCGCCTCCTCCTCCTCCTCCTCCCTCCTCCTCCTCCTCCTCCTCCTCCTCCTCGTTCCTCCTCCTCGTTCCTCCTCGGATTATAATCAGGATGGCGATGATGATGATGATGATGATGATGATGATGATGATGATGATGATGATGATGATGATGATGATGATGATGATGATGATGATGATGATGATGATGATGATGATGATGATGATGATGATGATGATGATGATGATGATGATGATGATGATGATGATGATGAAGATGATGGTGTTGATGAAGATGATGATTATGCTTAGTAAGAAGGTGATGATGGCGGTGGTGGTGGTGATGTGTGCGGTGGTGAGGATGATGCTGAAAAGTCGGAGGATTATAAGGCGTCTTGGGGCCGTGTTTGCCGTCTTTGGGGGCGTCGTTGGGAGACGTGAAGAAGCCACCTTCGGCCGTCCACGTGCCCTGTGAAAACCATCTTAGGCTCTCGGAGGTCCTTGACGGCCAGCTTGAGGCCCTCTTGTGCCCGTGATGCACTCTCTCCAAAATTGTTCTCGCTTCGCGTATCCCCACCAGCCCATCCAAAAACAGTCGCCAGGCGAGTTGACCCGATCAGGGATGTGTAGCATCATCTGGCCCAGCAGTGATCCACATCCGCTGTTGAGGTGGAGCAATCGGAGTTGAGAGAAGAGGAGGCATGCGGAAAAGGAGGGTGGAAGGAGCAAAAGGGAGGAAGGCGGGCAATGATGAGCAGGAGGGGGAGGAGGATGAGGAGGAGGGGGAGCCGGAGGAGGAGGATAACAAGTAGCATGCGTATGCAAATATATAGGTGGCGAAGAAAGGCACGACGACGATGACGAGCAATACGACGACGACCACGACCACGACGACGACGACGACGACGACGACGACGACGACGACGACGACGAGAGTCAACCACCAACATCCTTCGCTCTGAGAGCGTCGCGTATTGGAAGCCTCTTGGGGCCATCGCGGGGCACTCTGAGGCCCATGTTGCAAGCCTCTGGAGCCCTCATGATGCGCTCTTGGGGTCCCTCTTGGGCTCTTGGGGCGCTCTTGGGGCCCTCTTGGAAGCCTTGGGTGCCCTCTTTGGGCTATCCTGGAGGCCTCTGGGGCCCTCCTGGTGCTCTCTTGGGGCCCTCTTTGGGCGCTCTTGGGGCCCTCTTGAGGCCATATTTGATGCGTTGAAGGCCTTCTTGGGGCAATCGATCATATAAGGAGGGGGGTCCTGAAGTCACCCCCTCCCCCCGTCGGGACCCGAAAATGTGCCTCTTGGGGTCCTCTTGGGCCGCTCTTGGGGCGGTCTTGAGCGCTCTTGGGGCGGTATTGGGGCCCTCCTGGGCCCCTCTTGGGGCCCTCTTGGGCCATCATGGAGCCATCTTGAGGCCTCAGGGGCCCATCGAACGCGAAAAGGCGATGATGCAGAAAACTGTGAAAAAACACAAGGGATTTCAAAGATTTTGGCCTCTTGATGGGTTCCTTGGAGGGCTCGACAGGCACTTGGAGCCGTCCTGGGGCGGTCTCGAGAGCTCTTGGATGCATGTTGGAAGCTATCTTGAACCATCTTGGGCTATCTTGCAAGATATTGGAGACCATCTGGGGCTCTTGGAGGCCCTCTTGCAGCCATATTGGGCCATCTTGGGCGCTCCAATTCCTCGCGAAACCCTCCCTCCAGGTCCAGGGTAGGGGGTAGGGGGAGGGGAAGCCCCCTCCCCGAAGGGGAAGGAGCGGGTTTAGCAGAACGAGCTCGTTAGACCACTCACGCCCTAAAGAGCTGGTGGGACTTACTCGGGCTGTCCCAAGGCCTTCTTTGCATGTTCAGCATGTTCGCTGCCATGTTCAACCGTCGCAGTGCCATGTTGGAGCCCTCTTGGCGCGTATTGAGCCGCGGGAAACCCGAATAAGTTGCAATGGCTGAAATCTTCGGAGCGTGCATG